AATAATATTATTGTAACCATGGGTGGTGATTTTACCTATCAGGATGCTAATGTTTATTATAAAAATTTGGATAAATTAATACGGTAATTGAAAATTTCGGAAATAAGTAAAAATTTGCATGTTAAAAAAAGGAAAATGTTGGTTAAAAATTTTGATAATCTTTGGTGTTTAACAGAAATATTAAAACGGCTTTTGTATATTAACAACTCCCTAAAGTTTGCCACATAAAAAGTATCTCTAATGTTGCCTATTTTAAGGCGTTATTATTAAATTTAAATACTGCATACCCTAAGGCATTGGAATATTTGCATATTTATATCGTGTAGTCTATAGTCTAGTCTATAGTCTAGTCTATAGTCTAGTCTATAGTCTAGTCTATAGTCTAGTCGATAGTCTAGTCTATAGTCTAGTCTATAGTCTAGTCTATAGTCTAGTCTATAGTCTAGTGCTATAGTCTAGTCTATAGTCTAGTCTATAGTCTAGTCTATAGTCTAGTCTATAGTCTAGTCTATAGTCTAGTCTATAGTCTAGTCTATAGTCTAGTCTATAGTCTAGTCTATAGTCTAGTCTATAGTCTAGTCTATATAGTCTAGTCTATAGTCTAGTCTATAGTCTAGTCTATAGTCTAGTCTATAGTCTAGTCTATAGTCTAGTCTATAGTCTAGTCTAGTCTAGTCTATAGTCTAGTCTATAGTCTAGTCTAGTCTATAGTCTAGTCTATAGTCTAGTCTATAGTCTAGTCTATAGTCTAGTCTATAGTCTAGTCTATAGTCTAGTCTATAGTCTAGTCTATAGTCTAGTCTATAGTCTAGTCTATAGTCTAGTCTATAGTCTAGTCTATAGTCTAGTCTATAGTCTAGTCTATAGTCTAGTCTATAGTCTAGTCTATAGTCTAGTCTATAGTCTAGTCTATAGTCTAGTCTATAGTCTAGTCTATAGTCTAGTCTATAGTCTAGTCTATAGTCTAGTCTATAGTCTAGTCTATAGTCTAGTCTATAGTCTAGTCTATAGTCTAGTCTATAGTCTAGTCTATAGTCTAGTCTATAGTCTAGTCTATAGTCTAGTCTATAGTCTAGTCTATAGTCTAGTCTATAGTCTAGTCTATAGTCTAGTCTATAGTCTAGTCTATAGTCTAGTCTATAGTCTAGTCTATAGTCTAGTCTATAGTCTAGTCTATAGTCTAGTCTATAGTCTAGTCTATAGTCTAGTCTATAGTCTAGTCTATAGTCTAGTCTGTAGTCTAGTCTATAGTCTAGTCTATAGTCTAGTCTATAGTCTAGTCTATAGTCTAGTCTATAGTCTAGTCTATAGTCTAGTCTATAATCTAGTCTATAATCTAGTCTATAGTCTAGTCTATAGTCTAGTCTATAGTCTAGTCTATAGTGTAGTCAATAGTATAGTCTATAGTCTAGTCTATAGTGTAGTCAATAGTATAGTCTATAGTCTAGTCTATAGTCTAGTCTATAGTCTAGTCTATAGTCTAGTCTATAGTCTAGTCTATAGTCTAGTCTATAGTCTAGTCTATAGTCTAGTCTATAGTCTAGTCTATAGTCTAGTCTATAGTCTAGTCTATAGTCTAGTCTATAGTCTAGTCTATAGTCTAGTCTATAGTCAAGTCTATAGTCTAGTCTATAGTCTAGTTCATAGTCTAGTCTATAATCTGGTCTAAAATCGAAACTGTCTAAAACCTAGTCCAGTCTATAGTCTAGTTTAGGTTGTAGTCTATAGTTTTGTTTAGAGTCTATATATTTCCATGCCTGGTCCGTTCAGTAATAAAAACCTTTTTCTAGATTGATGAATTTTTCGCCATAGCTCGAAAAATGTCCCAGGGTTATCGTACCAATAATATTCTGGTGACCATGGGTGAAGATTTTCATTATCAAAATGCCAATATGTGGTTTAAAAATTTGGATAAACTTATTAAGTAAGTTAACCAAAATTTTTCTTAATATGCTGATTTTTACCGATCCATAAACAAATTTGGAACCTTTTTATATTTTCCTTAAAATTTCAGATATGCCAATGCCCGTCAAGTAAATGGTTCTGATATAAATTTACTGTACTCCACGCCTTCTTGTTATCTTAAGTCCCTACATGATGCTGGCATTACTTGGCCCACCAAAGATGATGATTTCTTTCCCTATGCCTCAGATCCTCATGCCTACTGGACGGGTTATTTCACTTCAAGGCCTACTCTCAAACGTTATGAACGTGTAGGTAACAATTTCCTACAAGTCTGCAAACAACTTACAGCCTTGGCCCCCAATTTGTATCCAGAATTATTGCCTCATTTGGGTTTTATGCGTGAAACGATGGGTGTAATGCAACATCATGATGCTGTTACGGGGACGGAAAAGCAAAAAGTGGCCTTCGATTATGCCAGACGTTTAAGTGTAGGCATGCGGACTTGTAGTGCTAATGCTCGTGCTGTTTTGAATCGTTTAACCCAGGGCGATTCGCCTCGACCCAAGAGGCATGGCAAGCCCCGACCTTTTCAATTTGAATTTAAAACATGTTCTCTGCTTAATATCAGTAGCTGTGAGGTATCGGAGACAAGTGATCAGTTTGTATTGACTTTGTACAATCCTTTGTCACATTCCACAGAGGATTATGTCCGGCTACCAGTACCCGATGTTAATTATGTGGTTAAGGATTATAGGGGTAAGTTTGGGGAAAAGAAAAACAAACTCCAAGTAATAATTTAATTCTCTTTGCAGATGTGGTTCTTGATATCCAATATGTACCCGTACCTGAACAGTTACAAAATCTCACCTTCCGCCAGTCTCAGGCCAAATATGAGCTCATCTTCCTGGCCAGTGATTTACCAGCCTTCGGTTATAAATCCTTTTATATAAAGAAAACTAATGGTCATCATATGAAACCCGAACCGGATCCAGATAATATGTCTAGTTTGATAGATATAGGAAATGAGGTAAGTCGGACATGTTAGACAACTTTAAGAAACTTTTCAAAATTCTTCTTGTTTTTGCCCCAGAACATACGCCTTACCTTTGATACCAATGGTTTTCTGTCCGCCGTTGAGGCCGATGGCATGACACGCATGATTAGTCAAGAATTCCTGTATTACGAAGCAGCCATAGGCAATAATCGAGAATTCCGTAATCGTTCGTCAGGAGCCTATATCTTTCGACCCAAAACCGATGCTGTACATACGGTAACTGTGGCCCCAGAAATCACCGTCTATCGTGGTAATTTAGTAGAGGAGGTGCATCAAAAGTTCAACAGCTGGATTAGTCAAGTTGTCCGGGTCTATAAGCAAAAGAAATATGCCGAATTTGAATGGCTGGTAGGACCCATACCCATAGAAGATGGTGTGGGTAAGGAGATAATAACACGTTTCAATTCGGACATCAAATCGGAGGGTATATTCTATACCGATTCTAATGGTCGCGAAATGATCAAACGTCTTAAGGATCATCGTGATACCTGGCGGGTTAAGCTGCTGGAAAAGGCAGCTGGAAATTATTATCCCATTACCACAAAAATTGCTCTAGAGGATGAACATGCACGTATGGCTATTTTAACAGATCGGGCTCAGGGTGGTACATCTTTATCAGATGGTTCTTTAGAACTAATGGTACACAGACGTCTATTGCATGATGATGCTTTTGGGGTGGAGGAGTCCTTAAATGAAACGGCTTATGGTGAAGGTTTAGTAGCTAGAGGAGTACATTATTTGATATTGGGTTCTTCGCAATTGGATCAAAGTCCTACCACCCAGTCTTTGGAGCGTTTTACACAATTAGAAAGGACTCTACAGCCTTGGAGATTCTTTAGTGATACCAAGTTTTCATATGAAGAATGGCGACAGCAGTTCACCAATATTGTAAGTAGTCAAATTTTAGAATCTTCCCCCTTTAAACCTTTCACTTTTAGTTCACCGGCCTTTCGATATCCTTGCCCAAAAATATACATCTCCTGACCTTTGAACCCTGGCATGAAAACGAAATTTTAGTACGTTTCGAGCATATACTCGAAAAAGACGAAGATCCCGAATACTCCAAATTTGTACAATTCGATATAAATGAGGTTTTCCAAGGATTCAAAATCTCTAATATAAGAGAAACCACCCTGGATGGTAATGCCTGGTTAGATGAAAATCGTCGCATGGAATTTGTACCGGATCCCGAGGATTCTTGGTATGAAAATTATGCTGTTTTCGCTAAATCCGCCAAACATGTACAACTACTGAAAGCACAAAAGCCTTTAGTTGCCACCGATTATCACGAGGAACTTTTACCTATAGGAGGATTAGGAGCTGAAAGCAATCGCTTGAAAAGGGAATATGGCTTCGGACATAAAGAACTGAATCGTCAGCGTATGGAAAAATTAAAATTACTCAAGTTATCGGTAGCTGAATTGCCGTTGGAATATAATGAGGATCGTAAGTTTATGATCGAATTGAGCGCCATGCAAATCAGAACATTTGTAATGTATTTGTAAGATTTTCGGGCAGAAGAAGGAGGGAGAGCTTATAGAGATGGAATATTTTGAAAAAATTGAACAAAAAGAAATAATAAAATTTAAACGAATAAAACTTATTTACAGCAACACATATGTATATGTTTATTTACAATTTAATTATAAAATATTAAAGTTTATTTTTATAAAATAAGTAAGTGTCCCATTCATAATCCGTGTCGTAAGGTTGTATGGTATTATGTTTTATATTAAATAATATATAGTTTGAGAAATTTGTGTAACATACAAATATACGACGATACGACTTCGATTGTGAATTTGGCATGTGTACAAACTACTCTAGCGCCATCTGTGCGTCGACATTAACATTTTGCATCGTAGTCACCAACCTTAGCCATGTCCACAACCTTTCAATACACTTTAATTTTATACAGTACAAACAACTTCAGTCAAAAGCAGGGTCGTGTTACATATAAATGATTTAGAAAGTTCCAAGTCCTCATGTTAACATTAGCAAAATTTTTTGCAAGACCATTTTACTGGCCTTGCTTTAAATCCTACATGGCGGCCATGGCCTGCTGTGAACGAATGCCTCGCTGTTCAGTGATTTTAAATTGCAACAATACAACCAGATAAGTGGCCATGAAGGAAACATTCTGGAAATAAATAAAATTCAAAGAAAGTTATCTTATTTTGATCGAAATCGAATCAGTTTTAGTTTTTCTGGTTCAGTCTAATTCTGTTCTAGTTCTTTTCTAGTTCTGTTCTAGTTCTGTTCTAGTTCTGTTCTAGTTCTGTTCTAGTTCTGTTCTAGTTCTGTTCTAGTTCTGTTCTAGTTCTGTTCTAGTTCTGTTCTAGTTCTGTTCTAGTTCTGTTCTAGTTCGGTTCTAGTTCTGTTCTAGTTCTGTTCTAGTTAGTTCTGTTCTAGTTCTGTTCTAGTTCTGTTCTAGTTCTGTTCTAGTTCTGTTCTAGTTCTGTTCTAGTTCTGTTCTAGTTCTGTTCTAGTTCTGTTCTAGTTCTGTTCTAGTTCTGTTCTAGTTCTGTTCTAGTTCTGTTCTAGTTTCTAGTTCTGTTCTAGTTCTGTTCTAGTTCTGTTCTAGTTCTGTTCTAGTTCTGTTCTAGTTCTGTTCTAGTTCTGTTCTAGTTCTGTTCTAGTTCTGTTCTAGTTCTGTTCTAGTTCTAGTTCTGTTCTAGTTCTGTTCTAGTTCTGTTCTAGTTCTGTTCTAGTTTCTGTTCTAGTTCTGTTCTAGTTCTGTTCTAGTTCTGTTCTAGTTCTGTTCTAGTTCTGTTCTAGTTCTGTTCTAGTTCTGTTCTAGTTCTGTTCTAGTTCTGTTCTAGTTCTGTTCTAGTTCTGTTCTAGTTCTGTTCTAGTTCTAGTTCTGTTCTAGTTCTGTTCTAGTTCGGTTCTAGTTCTGTTCTAGTTCTGTTCTAGTTCTGTTCTAGTTCTGTTCTAGTTCTGTTCTAGTTCTGTTCTAGTTCTGTTCTAGTTCTGTTCTAGTTCTGTTCTAGTTCTGTTCTAGTTCTGTTCTAGTCTGTTCTAGTTCTGTCTGTTCTAGTTCTGTTCAGTTCTGTTCTAGTTCTGTTCTAGGTCTGTTCTAGTTCTGTTCTAGTTCTGTTCTAATTCTGTTCTAGTTCTGTTCTAATTCTGTTCTAGTTCTGTTCTAGTTCTGTTCTAGTACTGTTCTAGTTCTGTTCTAGTTCTGTTCTAGTTCAGTTCTAGTTCTGTTCTAGTTTCTGTTCTAGTTCTGTTCTAGTTCTGTTCTAGTTCAGTTCTAGTTCAGTTCTAGTTCTTCTAGTTCTGTTCTAGTTCTGTTCTAGTTCTGTTCTAGTTCTGTTCTAGTTCTGTTCTAGTTCTGTTCTAGTTCTGTTCTAGTTCTGTTCTAGTTCTGTTCTAGTTCTGTTCTAGTTCTGTTCTAGTTCTGTTCTAGTTCTGTTCTAGTTCTGTTCTAGTTCTGTTCTAGTTCTGTTCTAGTTCTGTTCTAGTTCTGTTCTAGTTCTGTTCTAGTTCTGTTCTAATTCTGTTCTAAGTTCTGTTCTAGTTCTGTTCTAGTTCTGTTCTAGTTCTGTTCTAGTTCTGTTCTAGTTTCTGTTCTAGTTCTGTTCTAGTTCTGTTCTAGTTCTGTTCTAGTTCTGTTCTAGTTCTGTTCTAGTTCTGTTCTAGTTCTGTTCTAGTTCTGTTCTAGTTCTGTTCTAGTTCTGTTCTAGTTCTGTTCTAGGTTCTGTTCTAGTTCTGTTCTAGTTCTGTTCTAGTTCTGTTCTAGTTCTGTTCTAGTTCTGTTCTAGTTCTGTTCTAGTTCTGTTCTAGTTCTGTTCTAGTTCTGTTCTAGTTCTGTTCTAGTTCTGTTCTAGTTCTGTTCTAGTTCTGTTCTAGTTCTGTTCTAGTTCTGTTCTAGTTCTGTTCTAGTTCTGTTCTAGTTCTGTTCTAGTTCTGTTCTAGTTCTGTTCTAGTTCTGTTCTAGTTCTGTTCTAGTTCTGTTCTAGTTCTGTTCTAGTTCTGTTCTAGTTCTGTTCTAGTTCTGTTCTAGTTCTGTTCTAGTTCTGTCTAGTTCTGTTCTAGTTCTGTTCTAGTTCTGTTCTAGTTCTGTTCTAGTACTGTTCTAGTTCGGTTCTAGTTCTGTTCTAGTCCTGTTCTAGTCCTGTTCTAGTCCTGTTCTAGATCTTACTTACCGATGTTATTAACTCCCTGTTAATATTAGCATAACCATCCAAATTCATTATCGGGGGGGATTCTTAGCTATAGCCACCAAAAACATTTCCACTTCTTTTGTGTAGACGTATCCACTGCCGTCAAATTGACATTCAGCAATTGAGTTTGAAAATCTAAACCCACCTTCTGTGAGGCATAGTGGGCCTCATTGCAAATTATATACAAAAGACTCATGCAATAGAAAACGATGACAAAAAGACCCACCTCCTTGTAGGTGGCACCATGATCAATAATTTCACTAAACGAACCGTAAGTAGCAATGATGGTGGTGAAAAATACCACCAAGCAATACATGCCATACATGTTAGAGTAGGCGCGACCTGAAAAAGTGGGAGTAGCAGTTAAATAAAAAACTTTTTAGAGACTTTTATATTTACTTACCCAACTGCTGCATCATGTGACTTAAATCGACCCATAAATGACGATATTCTGTTAGCTTTTCAGCTGGCTTATCACCCTTCAAAGTGGTTTCCAATGAAATCAATAAAGCCTTGCTAGCAGTGCCAAACGCGGTGCAGTTAATATACCTTAATATTACAGAACATAATTTTTATATATCTGTGATCCAATTATAATGGTATCTCAAACTTACCACAAGCTACAAAAACAATTCAACATGGCTATAATAGGATAATAGGCAAAAGTATACCACAGTTCAAAATCGGGCTGCAGAAAGTATTGCGACAAATTTATTAGAATACTCAAACCCCAGGAACATATACACAAGGCCCAGGTTAAAGAATATAAATTTGGAAAAACTATTGGTGTACCAGTAACTTTCAAAAACTTTAGTTGATAATTGGTCCACATATTTTTGAATATAGCCACTTGAGGACCATGACGCCAACTGGCCACGGGCAGCAAAAAATTGGTGAATAGCAAACTGATAAAAATCACATTGTAAATAGCCTCATCAAACCTTTTATCCGAGTTTACTATAAAATTTTTCACTCTTTCTCTCAAGACCAATACCACTACGGTAGTTTGTATGCAGTAGATAAAAATGGCCCATAAAACCTGTTTTGAATGCCAGGAAAATCCCGTGCGTGGTAAATTCGATTTCGATGGATTACGATGTATGGGCATAACGCCCATTATTTGAAACAAAACCAATAGACTTTTCGTAGTATGATAGAAAGAATCATGTTTGTCGAGCAAGTCCGGATCATCTACGGTCTCATGTTTCCGCACATAATAATCGGTTAAATTATTCATATCGCTGCGTGCCAATATATCCAATTTTTCACGAAATCTCAATTCATCTTGTAGAAATTGTTTTTGATTCGGATTTAAAACGGGAGCAATTTTCAACGGTGATTTAGTGCTGACAGAAGCCCAAAAGGCCATGATGTCGATAATGTTCCAATTGTTGTACTATTGCGGGTTAAAGGAAAATGTTTGAAAACATTTGCTGGCAAGTGCTTAAATAGTGACAAATTTAAAATTCATTGATTACACTGGTTTGTAATATTAATGGAGGGGTAAATAGAAATAAGAAAGTTCTAGGTTAAAAGAGGAGGAATATTTTATGAATTTCATAAATGTTTATATAAACGCAAAGTGAAAACGTCAAAGTGATGAAATAACCGCAACTAGAACAGAACTAGAAATAAACTAGAACAGAACAGAACTAGAACGGAACTAGAACACAACTAGAACAGAACTAGAACAGAACTAGAACAGAACAGAACTAGAACAGAACTACAACAGAACTAGAACCAGAACAGAACTAGAAATAAACTAGAACAGAACTAGAACACAACTAGAACAGAACTAGAACACAACTAGAACAGAACTAGAACAGAACCAGAACAGAACACAACTAGAACAGAAATAGAACAGAACTAGAAAAGAATTAGAACTAGAACAGAAACTAGAACTGAATTAGAACAGAACTAGAACAGAACTAGAACAGAACTAGAACAGAACTAGAACAGAACTAGAACAGAACTAGAACAGAACTAGAACAGAACTAGAACAGAACTAGAACAGAACTAGAACAAACTAGAACAGAACTAGAACAGAACTAGAACAGAACTAGAACAGAACTAGAACAGAACTAGAACAGAACTAGAACAGAACTAGAACAGAACTAGAACATACAGAACTAGAACAGTACTAGAACAGAACTAGAACAGAACTAGAACAGAACTAGAACAGAACTAGAACAGAACAGAACTAGAACAGAACTAGAACAGAAACTAGAACAGAACTAGAAAAGAACTAGAACAGAACTAGAACAGAACTAAAACAGAACTAAAACAGAACTAGAACAGAACGAACTAGAACAGAACTGGAACAGAACTAGAACGAACTAGAACAGAACTAGAACAGAACTAGAACAGAACTAGAACAGAACTAGAACAGAACTAGAACTGAACTAGAACTGAACTAGAACTAGAACACAACTAGAACACAACTAGAACACAACTAGAACACAACTAGAACAGAACTAGAACACACTAGAACAGAACTAGAACAGAACAGAACAAACTAAACAGAACAAAACAGAACTAGAACAGAACAGAACAGAACTAGAACAGAACTAGAACAGAACTAGACAGAACTAGAACAGAACTAGAACAGAACTAGAACAGAACTAGAACAGAACTAGAACAGAACTAGAACAGAACTAGAACAGAACTAGAAACAGAACTAGAACAGAACTAGAACAGAACTAGAACAGAACTAGAACAGAACTAGAACAGAACTAGAACAGAACTAGAACAGAACTAGAACAGAACTAGAACAGAACTAGAACAGAACTAGAACAGAACTAGAACAGAACTAGAACAGAACTAGAACAGAACTAGAAACAGGAACTAGAACAGAACTAGAACAGAACTAGAACAGAACTAGAACAGAACTAGAACAGAACTAGAACAGAACTAGAACATAACTAGAACAGAACTAGAACAGAACTAGAACAGAACTAGAACAGAACTAGAACAGAACTAGAACGGAACTAGAACAGAACTAGAACTGAACTAGAACATGAACTAGAACAGAACTAGAACATGAACTAGAACAGAACTAGAACAGAACTAGAACTGAACTAGAACATGAACTAGAACAACTAGAACAACTAGAACAGAACTAGAACAGAACTAGAACAGAACTAGAACAAACGAGAACAGAACTAGAACAGAACTAGAACAGAACTAGAACAGAACTAGACAGAACTAGAACAGAACTAGAACAGAACTAGAAACGAACTAGAACAGAACTAGAACAGAACTAGAACAGAACTAGAACAGAACTAGAACAGAACTAGAACAAACTAGAACAGAACTAGAACAGAACTAGAACAGAACTAGAACAGAACTAGAACAGAACTAGAACAGAACTAGAACAGACTAGAACAGAACTAGAACAGAACTAGAACAGAACTAGAACAGAACTAGAACAGATCTAGAACAGAACTAGAACAGAACTAGAACAGAACTAGAACAGAACTAGAACAGAACTAGTAACAGAAATAGAACAGAACTAGAACAGAACTAGAACAGACTAGACAGAACTAGAACAGAACTAGAACAGAACTAGACCGAACTAGAACAGAACTAGAACAGAACTAGAACAGAACTAGAAACAGAACTAGAACAGAACTAGAACACAACTAGAATAGAACTAGAACACAACTAGAAAATAACTAGAACAGAACTAGAACAGAACTAGAACAGAACTAGAACAGAACTAGAACAGAACTAGAACAGAACTAGAACAGAACTAGAAACAGAACTAGAACAGAACTAGAACAGAACTAGAATAGAACTAGAACAGAACTAGAGCAGAACTAGAACAGAACTAGAACAGATCTAGAACAAAAGTAGAACAGAACTAGAACTGAACTAAAACTGAACTAGAACTAGAACTGAACTGGAACAAAACTAAAACAAATCTGGAAAAAACTAGAACTAACTAGAAAAGCTGTGTAACCTTTGTTATCATCCGGGCCAAATCGCGTGCTAATTGTTTCCAGACACTTGTTATTTGACATAACAAATGCATTTGAAGTGTACAAATCATGTAACAATTAAAATAAATAACCAACCTCTTTAGGCCTTAAGCACTAACTAACAGATAGTTGTCAACAAACCAGCAAACATTTCGGACTTATAAAATAAACAGAAAATAATGTACACTAAAGTTCAATCGCCCCGCCCACAACCTACTACATATCTAGCTAACACCCTGAAACCTTCGCGACAAACGGAAATTGTGAAAAGGCCAAACCCTTGTTGGCATGGAGTTAAAAAGATTCTCTTAAGTATTTGGTATTACTTAAAATTATATTTGGAAACCTGTGTGGCCCATTGCTATGTCTATCTTGTCCGGAATGGTTTAACTCTGTTGGAGAGGATTTCTGGTTTATTTTGATGGCGATTTGTCATTACTTTTGCTTTTTCATTGCCTTGCAATCGGTAACGCGTTTCATGAGTAAAAACAGTTATGTGGGCATAGAACGTAACTATTTCGATTGGAATACCACTTTGCCGAGTGTGACCATATGTCCAATGGAGAGAGACTAAATAGGGAAAAGTTTGATCATTTTTGCGAGTAAGTAAAGATATATTTTTGACTACTACTTTAAATAATATTTATATTTCCCAGAATGTACGATATCACCGCTGAACATAAAGAAGAATTGTTCGACTTTCTAGAACATTTAGCCAATTCTACTTATATTAATTTTAACGACATTCCCATACACAAAACTATAGAGGGAACTTTGGATAAAATTCGTTTAAAACCAAATCGTTATATGGAACTTATATACAATTTAACAGCTGACGAAACCATGAACCCGAATGAAAAACAACGTGTCCGCACTGTTGACAATGGTGCTAATATACACACCCGTCAAATTCTAACAGAATATGGTCTGTGCTATCTATCGAATAGTTTTCTGCCCGAGGAATATACCTCACGTTATTTAATATTTGGTGAATATCCCGAGAATAACATCTACGAAGAAGAGGCTCATGTGAGACCAGTTCAACAGGGTTCTTTTCCGGATAGATATATAGATTACAATTTTATAGGATTTCAATCGGCCATGGATGTAAGTTGGGAGGTTATGTATTAAAGTTATTCAAAATGGTTTTAAATTTAATTTTCTTTATAGCTGTATGGTCACAGTGCTTTTGATGTCATGAAGGTGGATAATAATGTTGGGCTACTCCACAGAGAATTTGTATTTTGAGCCGACTGTTACTGAAATTACAACAACTAAGAATTTTGAGACGTAAGTCTTCACATTTTGGAAGTTGTATATTTTTATATAACTATGAAGTTCAATTCCTAACATCCTTTTACGTTTGCTTCCTATTCAACCAATTTTTAATATCTGTTGTTCTCTGTTTAGGGAATCAAATGTTCGCCAACGAAATTGTCGTTTTAATCATGAGTCCAATTTAACCCATTTTCCGATCTATACTAAAAATTTATGTATGCAAGAATGCCGTCTGAATTTGGTATATAAAATTTGCAAGTGTATACCACATTTTTATCCAAATCGATGTAAGTTATTAGACCTAGAACTGAACTAGAAAAGAACTAGAACTGAACTAGAACTGAACTAGAACTGAACTAGAACTGAATTAGAACTGAACTAGAACTGAACTAAAACTGAACTAAAACTGAACTAGAACAGAACTAGAACAGAACTAGAACAGAACTAGAACAGAACTAGAACAAAACTAGAACAGAACTAGAACAGAACTAGAAGAACTAGAACAGAACTAGAACAGAACTAGAACAGAACTAGAACAGAACTAGAACAGAACTAGAACAGAACTAGAACAGAACTAGAACAGAACTAGAACAGAAATAGAACAGAAATAGAACAGAACTAGAACAGAACAGAACTAGAACAGAAATATAATAGAATAGAACTAGAACTGAACTAGAACAGAACTAGAACAGAACTAGAACAGAACTAGAACAGAACTAGAACAGAACTAGAACAGAACTAGAACAGAACTAGAACAGAACTAGAACAGACTAGAACAGAACTAGAACAGAACTAGAACAGAACTAGAACAGAACTAGAACAGAACTAGAACAGAACTAGAACAGAACTAGAACTAGAACAGAACTAGAACAGAACTAGAACAGAACTAGAACAGAACTAGAACAGAACAGAACTAGAACAGAACTAGAACAGAACAGAACTAGAACAGAACTAGAACAGAACTAGAACAGAACAGAACTAGAACAGAACTAGAACAGAACTAGAACAGAACAGAACTAGAACAGAACTAGAACAGAACTAGAACAGAACTAGAACAGAACTAGAACAGAACTAGAACAGAACTAGAACAGAACTAGAACAGAACTAGAACAGAACTAGAACAGAACTAGATCAGAACTAGAACAGAACTAGAACAGAACTAGAACAGAACTAGAACAGAACTAGAACAGAACTAGAACAGAACTAGAACAGAACTAGAAGAGAACTAGAACAGAACTAGAACAGAACTAGAACAGAACTAGAACAGAACTAGAACAGAACTAGAACAGAACTAGAACAGAAATATAATAGAATAGAACTAGAACTGAACTAGAACAGAACTAGAACAGAACTAGAACAGAACTAGAACTAGAACAGAACTAGAACAGAACTAGAACAGAACTAGAACAGAACTAGAACAGAACTAGAACAGAACCAGAACAGAACGAACAGAACTAGACAGAACTAGAACAGAACTAGAACAGAACTAGAACAGAACTAGAACAGAACTAGAACAGAACTAGAACAGAACTAGAACAGAACTAGAACAGAACTAGAACAGAACTAGAACAGAACTAGAACAGAACTAGAACAGAACTAGAACAGAACTAGAACAGAACTAGAACAGAACAGAACTAGAACAGAACTAGAACAGAACAGAACTAGAGCAGAACTAGAACAGAACTAGAACAGAACTAGAACAGAACAGAACTAGAACAGAACTAGAACAGAACTAGAACAGCAGAACTAGAACAGAACTAGAACAGAACTAGAACAGAACTAGAACAGAACTAGAACAGAACTAGAACAGAACTAGAACAGAACTAGAACAGAACAGAACAGAACTAGAACAGAACTAGAACAGAACAGAACTAAACAGAACTAGAACAGAACTAGAAAGAACAGAACTAGAAAGAACTAGAACAGAACTAGAACAGAACTAGAACAGAACTAGAACAGAACTAGAACAGAACTAGAACGAATATAAGAATAGAACTAGAACGAATAGAACAGAACTAGAACAGAAACTAGA